CTGGCCTTCCAGGGAACAGTCAGGGTTGATTTCTTTTAGGATTGACTGATTTGATCTTCTTGCAGTCCAAGGGACTCTCAAGAGTCTTCTCCAGCACCATAGTTCAAAAGAATCTATTCTTTGGCGCTCGGCCTTCCTTATAGTCCAACTCTCGCAGCCATACATGACTACTGGGAATACCATTGCTTTGACCATGCGGACTTTTGTTGGCAGGGTGATGTCTCTACTTTTTATCATGCTGTTTAGGTTCGCCATCGCTTTCCTCCCAAGGAGCAGGCGTCTTTTAATTTCATGGCTGCTGTCACAGTCTGCGATGATCTGGGATCCCAGGAACGTGAAGTCTGTCACGACTTCCATGACTTCCCCTTCTATTTGCTCCTTAGAGGAGAATGGTTTAGGGGGTTGAAAACTGATCTAAGCCAGGGTTGCCCAACATGGTGGCCCGAATGCCATGGTGCCTTTGAACACCTTTCTAGGTTTTTAGAAAGTGGGCGGGACCAGGTGGGAATTTTATCCAGCAGAGCTTCTGATTGGCCATTGGAGATCTGAATGGCTGTACAGATTAAAACAAAGTTGCTTCAGCAGCAGCTGCCATCACAGGACAAGGGTCTTCATTGTATGACTGAAGATAAGATGTGTGTATGCAAGAAAATATTTTTAAACAATGTGTCCATTTTGAAAGACATTCTGTTACACATAGCTTCTGCCTGAAATGTTGAAGAGTTAACAGTTAAGAGTTGTGCATGACCTCACTCGCTGAGATTTTGTGGCTGGCTCCATCCTTTGTAGCAGCAATTTTGTGCTTGGACCCACCATCCCATATCAGAATGCCAAAGGGACCCACATGCTCAAAATGTTTGGGACCCCTGATCTAGGGATTGTATTCCCCTCTCATCTCAAATTATTGTTCTGCAAAAACTGAAAGTGCCACCCATTTGTTACATAGGGGAGAACCCCGATTGCAGCTGTTTCAGTGCTGAAGGTTTGCTGTCAGTTCTCTTTATTGCAAAGTAGAGTCAGCAGTGACTTTTATTAAGAGCAGTGTCTGTAGTGGTGTTTCCATGGCCTCTCAAGTATTTTGAACAAGCAGTATTCTGGAAGGCTGAAATCTAGGAAATGTTGATTTCTCTGATAGCATGTGGAAATTGTCAACATTTATCCTGTGCTTATCTGTGCGATTATTCTAGCTTAGTATTGCTGTTCTTCAAAAATTCATTGCTTTTTAAGGTGGAGGTGGGAAACTCATTCATAGCCATGCTTGTTTAACATTTGAACATTCCAAATTGACACCTTTTCTATGACTTGAAGAAATCTGTTTGTGACAAACGACTGAGTAATTTGTCTATTATATGAACAATATTCCCATATAACTAGGTGGGATTTTTTTTAAACAAACAAAACTAAGGAGGATTAATATAAAAGATAGCTTTGTCGCCTTGATTCCATTGTATTTGGTAGGCTTTGCAATTTTTCTGTCTTCTTGTAGATGGGCTATTACACATAATATGTGAATCGGCTCATTGTTATAAGCCCCTTGTGATCAGTTGATTGCTTGGCAGTAACTCTAAGTCTCTTCATTTCTTCTGCTTAAATCTTTCAGAGAAGCTAAAAATAAATGGCTTCCCTAGTATTATGTTTCAGGTCTGCTACTGATGTCTCTGTCATAGGGATGTTGTTTGGATACTGTTGGAAGAGGAAGCACGATGCACAACCATAGGTAGAAGGATTTCTCGATGGCGGCTGGCCTATGTAATATCTTTGTGTATTTAAGTATGTGGGAAATGCCTTGCAGGTATGCCATGATCTCAGATGGATGGATGCACAATTCTGCAAGGGCACCTTTGCTGTAATTTATCTTTCTCCCTTGTTGAAGCCCTCTGAGAAAAGGCTATATATAAAATGTGCTAAATTTGTTACGGCAGGGGACAGATTCAGATCACCAAATATAGGTTGTAATTTATGACCTAAACTCACATGAAGGAAAATGTCGGTAGAGTGTATTAATTCTCTCTTGCTTTGTAGAGCCCCTATATTTTATCAGTAAGCAACAATAAGAAGTGGCCATTTTGGGTGGTGCTAGTATGTCAGGTTATCCATGCTGTCATTTTGTCCATGAGCCCAAAGCAAGTTCTTAACGTTGGACATATTCTGGGAGTCTTCCAGGGGAAAAAAAGATAGTAGAGACTCACACTCAAAAATTTGGCTGTTTGCTTCACACCAGTAAGTGAAACTCATGCTCTTCTTTCCCAACATTTCCTTGGCCTGCCTATTTCATAGCTGTCTAGTCTCCAGAAGTCTCTTGCCTGCCAAACCCTCTTCATTTTAATATCACGCAGCCCTCTCTGGTCCTGCCCAGGACCCTTTGTGAGCTTTTCATGTTCCTCTTTTCCTGCGGCAGCATCTCTTTTTCTTGTTGCTCCTCAGCCTTCACCCATCTTCTTTCAGGCTCCAGGCCTCTGGGCTTTCTCCTCCTACCCCTCTTATGGTCCTTTCTGCACTAGACTTTAAATCCTGGCTCATCCCTGTCCCCGAACTTACATTCTACACTGCACTCGAGTTCACCCCTGTAATTATCTCAAGGTATTTTTTGTTTCCACATTACATTGAGGTCACCCTGGTTTTGCCTCACACTTGTCCCAGGATAAACGGATGCTGTTATAACCAGGGATAAATGCAAGGTATTGTGTCACAAGTTGAACTCTGATAAAACCAGGGATGAGATCCAAGTGCGGAAATGACCTATGTTAACTTTATAGATTCCCATCCCTAGAACTTGTGTGAGATTTTCTCCCTATTCCTTTAACTCCTTCTTTCTTCAGGAGTCCATTTCATCCAATGTTCTTTCTCCAGGACATCTACTTCCCTCACAAATATTTCTCAGATGCTTTGCAGCTCAGCCAACTATCTACCAGTTCCCCCTTTTCATCCACCATCCTGTGCATCTTACTCTATGATTAGTCAGCTTCTCAGACCTTGCAATCTTACTTCTGTCCTCCAGAACCTCTATCCCTAAGTGTTTTCATTTCTTGCTTACAGGTTCTTGCATAGAGATTTATCAGTGTCCTGTTGTTGATAGCTTCTCCCTGTGTAGCAAGAATATTTGTGAATATTCTGATAGGTTCTTGCATAGAGATTTATCAGTGTAGCAAGAATATTTGTGAATCAGTGTAGCAAGAATATTTGTGAATATTCTGTGGCAGTTCAATCAGTGGCTGGGTTCAATCAACTCTGGGCAGTGGGACATTGCCATCCTTTGGCATATGTTGTGTGCTGATGCACGCGTGCACGTGTATAAGATGAAGCCAGCAATTTGTCTGAATTTATTCTAGTCTTTCGATTGATAGTAATAGCAGGTTACAAAGAGTAATTGAAGGATTTCTTTCTGCAGAAATATAGGAATCTAATAAGGGGATGATAAAATAAATTTCACAGAATTCACTTTGAAAATACTATGTGATTATGATTAATCTCCATTTTATTCAAAGGAATATCTGTGAGTTTATTCAGCTTGTCAGAGATCCAGTGGCATGCACTCACTGCTAGCTTAGTTTTCCCCCCTGTTGATAGCTATTATGATGAAAGTGACACCAGTGAATTTCTTTGGCCAGGGCTTTGCACCACAGCCAAAGAAAACTCGGCTATCATATTTATGGTCACCTATCAGAAATCTGCTCATGTGAATCCACCAGTTAAGATGCTAATATTTAAGTCCTGAATGCTTATCTGCCTTACCCCCCAACCAAAATGCAGAGTAACACGATGAATTGGACAGTCATCCCCTGTTTACATTGCTGCAGCTGTGCCTCAGTTCTACAAGAGCATCCCAGTCTATATCTCTGTAGTTTATTGACTCTCCACATGCCCCACTAGCCTCTTAGAACAATTGTAAAAATTTCAGTGCACACGGTTAGTTGATGTATCCTTTCATATGAAATGTATGCATTGCACAGTTTAAACTACTTACAGTGGCAGCCCTAATAGACTGGACTATCCCAGTCTCGTCACAGCTTGGAAGCTAAGGAGGGCGAGTACTTGAATGGGAAGTCCACCAAGGAAGTCTGGGGCCACTACACAAGGGAAGGCAATGGCAAACTACCTCTACTCATCTCTTGCCTTGAAAACCCCATGAGGTGGAACTTCGTGGGGGTCACCATCAATGTTCCCTCTAAGCTGTGGAATCTTGTGAGCAAAAATTCTACTCTGTGAGCTACTGGCATGAAATTTGTGAGTGAGCGATTTGGCTACTGCATAAATTAGTTGGCTCTGGAGCCATCCTCCCTGAGCGAAGACAAAAAATCTGTGAGCTGGAGGCTGAAAAACTGTGAGCTAGCTCACACTAACTCAGCTTAGAGGGAACACTGGTCACCATGTGTTGGTTGTGACTCGATGGCATGCTTCACCTTGCTTACAGTGGCATGAAAGAACCGGTGGGGCATTTCGTTGTTGGAGCAACATTTGTGGCTGCGGTGCAGAGCCCTGTCCAAAGGAATTCACTTGTGTCATGGGACACTCTCTTCTGCTACTGGTGACAAAGGGACAGCCATTGTGTTTCTGTATGTGAGACTCTGGTCAAATCTGCATTTGCATTTTTTAATCAGTTTCGTGCTGCTGTGACGCCGTCTTTCTCTATGCTTGTTTGAACGTTGTTTGGAGAAGATTTCTTTTAAAGCAGTGCAGAGTGCAGCAATGACAGTGGAGCTGCCACGAAAGGGCAATAAACATATGCGGACGTGCAAAAGTATGCTAGCACTGTTGAGGTGTGAAAACGACACCAAAGGTGTCAGAAGGCTGGGACACCGGTGGGAAAGACAAATGCAGATTCGACTTATACTGCTAAATCCCAGCCAGTATACATGTGTTTTTTGGATGGCACAGTCAGGATAATCATCAGGGAGCTATAAGTTCCCTCTGGCCTGGGGAAACTTTTAAAATCATCTATACAATGCTTAAAATATAGGCTGCTAGACTCATTTTCTGTCTGTCAATAAATATCTACACAGGCATCCTGGGGAGGCTCAGCACTGCTGTCAAGGAAGCATCGCAAGCTTTTGCACGGTGTCCACAGGTAGATGATATTTAATACGGAAGGCCTGATAACTTTCATTTATTTATTTTACTTACTTCATTCATTGACAGTCTGCCTGTCTTGCTCAGACTCAAGGCAGATTAGACAATTTTTTTAAAAAAAATGCAATAAAAAGAGTATCATACATACAACAAACGACGCAGTAAAATGGGATTATGAGATTGGAGAACAATGCAATAAATTGATAAACTGAAATGGAAGCCAGCCAGATGTAAACACTTTAAAGGTTTTGTTTGTTTGTGTTTTAAATTAATTGAATGGAAGTTGAAAGGCAATGAAGAAATGTCAAGTTGATCATATGGATGTTTCAGCTGCCCAACACTGACAACAAGATATTTTATCTGCTTTCTTTTAGGGCCAATTCTGTGGCATGGAATCCTCATAAGATGCTTATGGCAGGGATCCAGTGCTGTGCTCTTCTGGTGAAAGACAGTTCTGTAAGTTTTGTTTTTTCTCATTTCCAAAATGCAGTTGGGATTTCCCAGTACTATACTTTGAAAGGGCAGAATGTAATTTACTCTGCATGGAAAATAGTACGAAGAAGCAGTTGCATCACATAGCAAAAAATACTGACTGTGTATGAGATTGTGACAAGAAACAAAAACACGTCTGATCAGAGTGTAATTTCTGCTTATTCAGTGGTAGGGATGCACCCACCCATGTGTGGAAGGCATACACAGAGTTCCCACGTTCCTCTCCATGCCTGTAATCCCTTCTGACCTGTGGAATGATCATTCCTGGGGTCGCAGGATCCATGCAGAGCACGAGCCTGTGGTTTGGTGGGCTGGAGTGAGGAGACACAAAGGGATGGAAATGACACCTTTCCTCAGTGGAGTTGCACTTGCAGAAGAGGCAGGATGAGCATTCATCTGAGAGAGCCAGTTTGGTGTAGTGGTTAAGTGCGCGGACTCTAATCTGGGAGAACCGGGTTTGGTTCCCCACTCCTCCACTTGCACCTGCTGATGTGACCTTGGGTCAGTCACAAGCTCTGGCACAGCTGTCCTTGGAAAAGAGCAGTTTGTGTCAGAGCTTTCTCAGCCCCACCCACCTCACAGAGTGTCTGTTGTGGGGAGGGGAAGGGAAAGGAGTTTGTAAGCCACTCTGAGACTCCAAGTGAAGGGCGGGGTATAAATCTCCTCCTCCTCCTCCTCCTCCTCCTCCTCCATCCAAGCCCCCCCACGCATATGGCTGCTCCTCCATACAGCCCTGAGAATGATATTTTCAGGGATCAGAAGGTGTCGTGATCCCCTTTGACCAGGTCAGCGACTCTGACTCGGAGTCCTCAGGAGAGAAGCCCAGGGAGCCAAGGTCGGTAGCTGAGGTGGACTAGAGGAATCAGGGAGGGCCCAGAACTGCAGAGGCGCCTGCTGGCAGTGTACCATCAGTGGCAGAGGCCACCCTGCAAGAGCCTGCAAGGGAAACCTTGCCACCAGGCCCACCGGGCAGGACTCAATCCCCCACCCCCCAGGAATGATGGTGGCAGAAGACCTGGGCCAGGGTGTCACAGAGGAGGTGAAATGACAGACTGGCTGCACGGAACCCCTCTGTACGTCTACAGCAGGGTGCTGAGGGTGGTACTTCCTTGCAGGATCCTGGCCAATGCATCACACAGCCTCAGGAACTCCAGCACATTTTGGCAGTGCAGCTAAGGCCAATTACCTCCCGGCCTACTTACACTGAGCCCTGGGAAGACAGCCTTGCTGGATCAGCTGGTCATGTGGTCTCAAGCCTTGTGTTACCAGCTCCTGCTTCCATCCTGGGAAGCCCCAGGACCAAGAGTCTGGTACCATTTCAAAGGGAACCTGACTGGACCCAACTGCGGGATGCAGGAAAGAAGGAACTGCAAGAACAGAGAGGAGTGCAGGGGAAAAAAAAATGCATTCCATACGTGGAATGGTTGGATCCACATTAGCAAAATTAAAGTTTGGGTACAAAATTTAATCACGTTCTGTCTAGGTTTTAGTTTGCAATTTTCCTAATGGCTTATTTTGAAATAAGAACAACAGCTTCTGGAAGCATTTTGAGTGCAAACAAAGAGCTCTATGCTAATTTCCCAAGAACATCTGAGGCAAAAGCAGCATCTGGCTTCTCCCTGCTTAGCTCCCAGGACATTAAAGATGTTGAAGGGAAGGAGCTGGAGGATTCACCGCCCAGCAACTGTCCTTTCAAATAACATCTGGGGCAGAGCAGCAGGGGTTAATGTACTGAGAATGGGAGAGGGAAGGGAAGACAATACTTTTAAAATGTTGTTACCTACTTTGAGGACCTTATAGCAAAAAAGTGAGGTGTACATCTAATAAACAACTAATTTACATACCAGCTAAAAGTGTTAAGAGGCAAAATGGGCAAAGGAGGCAGGAAGAACAGTCGGATTGTTTGTCTGGGGATTTGCATCCCACTTTCCTCCTCACTAGGGACTCAAAGTGGCTTGCAATAAAACTGGACAATATGAATTAAACCAAGAAAGAGAAACAAGTGTACACAGCACAATGATGTAGTGGTTAAGTGTGCGGACTCTAATCTGGGAGAACCGGGTTCGATTCCCCACTCCTCCACTTGCACCTGGCTGGATGGCCTTGGGTAAGCCATAGTTCTGGCACAGCTGTTCTTGAAAAAGGGCAGTTTCTGTCAAGAGCTCTCTCAGCCCCACCTACCTCACAGGGTGTTTGTTGTGGGGAGGGGAAGGGAAAGGAGTTTGTAAGCCGCTCTGAGACTCCGAGTGAAGGGCAGGATATAAATCCAATCTCCTCCTCTTCTTCTCCTCCTCTTCCTCCTCCGGTCCTGGATGCACTAGGCCAGCTCACTCCAAGGACACAGTGCATGAGACATGGGCCATGAGCCCTTTGGCTCTTACCTTTCGGCTTGTGCCTCTGTCGATGCCCAGGCTAAATGCCTGCAAGCAGAGGAGGATCAGATGTTCAGCCTGATGTCATACAACTGGCACAAAAACCCTAACCCTAACCCCCGCCATTAGTTTGGAACGATCTATAAGGTCCCCCCCGCCATTAGTTTGGAACGATCTATAGAATTATCTATGAAAGTGAGGTAAATTATGATCTATTGAATTTAAACATTTTACATCCTCCATTCCTCAGCCAATTCAGACTTTTGTGATAGCTTACAAACAACATGACATACAAGAAAAAAAATACAAGAATCACTCAGTAAGTATTTAAAAACATGGCAACAATCAACAGCTAAAAACCTATTAAAATCTCCACAGAGTACTAAAATTCAAATAACAGCACTATAGTCTTACAAAACATTTACATTTTTTGTTATGTCTTATCTTATGAAGCCATTGTTATCAAATGAAGTGTCCACTGATGGGCACTAACTACGTTAAAAGCAGTTTGACAACTATCTGGATAATCAGTTATACTTACAAGTTACTACAATGAAATGCAAAGTAATTGGAATTAATTTTTTGTGACTGCTTTGTTTGAAGTAGTTGGCTAATTTCAGTTATATTTTTATAACTACTCTTCCATCCACTTACTCATCCATGGGCTGAAAAAAATTATTAACAAGGCTTTTACTAAATCAGACAGGCATAACCATTTTCGTTTCCACAAATAACCTCTGTCAGTTGAACCTTGAAGAAAAGAAACACAGGTGGAGTAAGATCATCTAGAAACCATGCAAACTATGATGCTGCTTCCAGTTTAGATACGTCCAGATTACACTTTGAAAGGTGCAGAATCTTGTTGCCCTGTCGTGACACCTGCCTCCTGGACAAAATGTATGCACTAGGCAAACTCCTGTCCTGGGCTCCAAACCCTATCAAGGCTCGTTGTTCCAGTGGGAGTAAAAAAAGAGATTTTTTTAAAAAGGAATACAATATACTGATCATAGAAGAAGAAGAAGAGTTTGGATTTATACCCCACCCTTCACTACCCAAGGGAGTCTCAGAGCAGTTTACAATCTCCTTTCCCTTCCCCCTCCCCACAACAGATACCCTGTGAGGTAGGTGGGGCTGAGAGAGCTCTGACAGAAACTGCTCTTTTTCAAGAACAGCTGTGCCAGAACTATGGTTTGCCCAAGGTTATCCAGCCAGGTGCAAGTGGAGGAGTGGGGAATCAAACCCGGTTCTCCCAGATTAGAGTCCGCGCACTTAACCACTACACCAAACTGGGGTATGAACAATTAGCAATTACATATCATTAAACTTTTAGATAATCATTGGCTTTAAAAATGTATTCACCCAGATACAATAGGCCCCTGATGACTAACCCCAGCAATGAACACTGAACCAAGAAATAATTTTCATGACTTTTCCTTTTGGATGGATCCCTAATTAAGACTTGGATCCCAGCACTTATGTGTAAGTAAATAAAGTTAGCCTGTAGGCAGCAAACTGCTTGCAGGCATTCCTATTCCTCTGGGCTGGACTGAACTACTAAAATGTTATCAGTGCAGCAGCCTCCCTAGAAATGGGGTGTACTGAGCATGCTCCTAGCAGCTAGCTTTAGGAAACAGATGGGGAGTGGCAGCAGTTGACACATGCTCTACAGTCATCTCAGGTGTGCTCGCAGTCTGCTTGGTGACTTGCTCTTTGTCTGGAGTTTTCAGTATGGTATAAGGTTGCCATGACAGAGTGAGCTCCCGTTTCTGGTCCCAGCTCCTGCCAACCTAGCAGTTCAAAAACAAGAAATTGCAAGTAGATAAATAGGTACCACTTCAGTGGGAAGGTAACAGCGTTCAGTGTGTCTCGGCGTCTAGTCATAAGAACATAAGAACATAAGAGTCTTTGGACAACGCTGGCTCTTCGGCTTGGAAATGGAGATGAGCACTGCATCCCTAGAGTTGGATTTGACTGGCTTTCGAGCAAGGGGAACCTTTACCTTATAAGGCTGCCAACTCTGGGCTGGAAAATTCCTGGCGATGTTGGGAGTGGAGCCTGGGGAAGGCAGGGTTTGGGGGGTGGTCCTCAGCCAGGTATAATGCCATACAGTCCACCCTCCAGAGCTGGGAGTGGAACCTGGGAAGGGCAGGGTTTGGGGTGGGGAAACTCAACAGGGTATAATGGCATACAGTCCACTCTCCAGGGCTGCCATTTTCTCCAGGGGAACTGATGTCTGTCATCTGGAGAAGAGTACTAATTCCGGGCCCCGCCTGAATGTTGGCAACCCTACTATGGTAATAAAGAATGAATTAAATAGCACTTTCCTCCCCAGGGGAGGTAGTATCCCAGGGGGTAGTAATAACTATTGTCAGTCAACTGGACCAAAAGCTTAGATACCTTGAACCACTTATTGTACTTTACCGACCATCTTTGGAAATATCTACATTTGTAAATTTAGAGAATTTACAAGATTTTAGAATAACAATACAAAGTGTTCATTATACGAAACTCAGAAGGGTGACATTCATATTGTGTAGACTATCCAAGATCTGTATTATAACAGCCAAAAGTAATAAAATAAATGAACTGGGT